TTAATATAATTTAACCAAGTTTTACTTTTACCATTTAGACGTCTGTCTAAACTCTTGATTTTGTCCAGCAACCTTAGTCTAGACACAGAAAATACGTATCGGAAATAAATCTTGCAGCCTCGACTATTAAGTATTCTATTGCATGATCGAAAACTATTATCAATATTGACAGTCATATCACAAGTTCGGGCGGTTATTCTCGCTTTCAAAGTTGGCTTGATGAATTGTCTGAAAGAGAAGAACCTCTACCCGAAGGACTTTTATTTTTGGCATTTGATAATAAGCAAAGAGGACAAAAAAATTATCTTGATCGAGGGCTCAATACAGTGATATTTCATACTGTTACTAGTTTCGTTGCTTTTAATATAGAATCACAAAATTACATTCAACATACTAATACTTCTTAGATATCTAGTTTTCTTAACAGGAAACAATATGAAAACCTTTTTAATATTACATCTGAAATGCAAGAAGCGATAGATAAAGAATTACATGCTTACCTTTTAGAAATTCTTGTTTTGCTATGTGAAGAAAAATTATCAATGACTAATAACATTGATTCTCTTATAGAAAATATAGGATCAAATAATAAATGCAACAAATGATGTCCTGGCTGTCAAGAGCAAAATATCGATAACCGAAAACAAATTTGTCCAAAGTGCAAAAGTCGTCTACCTATGTTGGCGGAATTACCAGAACAATACATTGTTGAGTCAAAAAATGACACAGTAGAGCGATCAACCATTTATAAACCTTATAATGTCAAAAAGGAAATTAATTCACCCACTATAACACGAATCAGCATTACTCAAAAGTCATCTGCTGACCAAGGCATTAATATTTCAGAAATCTTTGCTCCTGACCCTCTTAATGTTAACCCCAATTCGACTGCAAACATTGAAAAAGTTCTTCTTCCTATTGAAAAAATATCGGGGATTAAAGACGGAATATGAAAATGGGTTGTTGTAACTTATGATGGTGTTCCGTATCATCGCATAGCCAAAATGAAGGATAAATATTCATGGCTAATTCTCATTCCTGGGCAATTACATGAAGAAATGAATATACTTCGGGCATATGTGGAATTAAATTGGTAAGCTTATGTTATATTTGAATTCTATATTCTTATATAATTTTCTAATAATTTAACATTTAAAAAAAAGGGATATTGATATTAAACAATTTGCAATATGCCAAGGATATAAAACCGAAAGCCAACTCGCTTATTTCAAGAAGTATCATGACTATCATAAGTCTTAGGATTCTATTTGCAATATTTATTATCAAGTAATAGCTATGGAACTGATGTGACCATATATTAAAAATCATTCTAATCCATCAGTAGAAGAATATTTGGCTTGGGCAAAAGAACAAAAGGATCTGCTTTACCAAATAAAATTTGAATAGGTAAAATTGTTAAGTTTTTATTGAAATATTGATTCGGTTACTAACTATTACTACTAAATGCTATATCAATTATTAATTTATTAAATAGGTATTTGAATATTTACAAGCTATTATTAATTATAGAACAGCTATTAGGAAAAATAATCCATTACTAAAAAGAGCTGCAAAAAGAGCTTTTTCGTCGGTATAATCAGCACGACGCCATCTGATATATCATTTAATAGAAGTTGTGGATGAAGTACAACTTATGCAACTTGATCCAACTATAAAAGTATTATAGAAAAAAACTGCATAATTTCTCGGTCAGGACTTTTTAACCAGCATCAAGGGATGGATGCAATTCTAAAAGAAATAAATAGAACTCTAAAAATATTGATACCTCCCGTTCCACAAATGCGTCATTGGAAAATCACTGCACGGAACTGTAAAAAATTTTTTCAGGTACTGCAATTATTATATCTATGATTATTATTATTACAAATTAGTTAATTTATCATTTATGGAAATTTAGTTACGAAAAATTTTTTTCAACTTGATTGGATATAATGATTCTCAAACGGTTGGTCTAAGGAACCAGCCAGAACCAATTACGGAATGTCAGAGATTTCGAGCCTATCTAAGAAAAGAAAATTTTGTTAATTTAATAGATTTAAGAACCGTTTGTAAGAACTTGGGAGGGGAATATGAATTAAGTGCACAGTTGACAAATTTTACTAATATAGCAAAACAAGCTCGACAGGAATATCTTATTAATGTTTTTTATAAAAATAATCAAGCTTCTTTATTTAGATCAATTCCAATCACTAAACAAGAGGAAATTGCACAAAATGATGAAGCAAATATGACTAAAGCAGAAATTGTTTGCAAGATCGAAGCTTTTCTTGAACAGGTAAGTGAAAGTATTCGAAAAAAATATAGTGGAATAAAGTCTAAAAAGTGTGGTGAATTATTAATTATATTAGAAGAGGTAAGGTCTTTATTAACTTCAGATAATGAACATGATAACTTTGATTGTACTTAACATTTAGGAGTATAGAAGTTTTTTGTAATAGTATTTTGATAAAAAAAAATAAAAAGTTAAACGTATATGCAGTACAATAGTACTGCAGTATATCAAATAAAATTGTATAATAAATTCTAGAATTTTCTGATCGGCAATTTTTATACCATAAAAGGAATGATCGATACTCCCAATTTTGATAAAACCCTGACTGAAATAGTTTTAATTGTTTATGGTATATTATTAATATGAATCTTATTCATAATCATCACATGGTTGATGAAAATTATCAATATTTTATGTCTAATGAACAAAGTATTTCTGATGATGTTAAGAAAAGAATAGAAATATTACAGCATGCTGGTGTAGATATTACAATAATTCGTTCAATTTTGAAAGAAGAATTTGGTGATTATGTTACATGTGTATATAGTGATATTTATAACTTTATCTATAAATTGGAAGGTTCTGGAATAAATAAAAAAGAATTGGATGACAATGAATTTATAAAAATATTAAAACAGTTTAAGCATGATGATAAAGAATTTCTTTATTTTACTAATATTAATAAAGATACAAATCGATTAGAATGAGTTATATGGATGTTTCCAGAATAATGCATGAATTATTGTAGATTTATGATATAGTAATTTTTGATAATACATATAAAATAAACCAGTTTAAAATGCCATTTGGTATTTTTACAGGGGTTAACAATTATGGACGCAGTATATGTTTTGCTGGCACATTGATGATTGATGAAACGGAAGACAATTTTTTGTGGGTTTTTACTAAATTTCTTGAAATGGTTAATTAGCATGCACCATTGGTTATACTTACAGATGATAATCACGCAATGGCAAATGCTTATACAAAAATTTTAAAACCAATGGGCACAAAGCATCATTTATGTCAATGGCATCTAATGAAAAATGTGATGAAAAATTTATGTTCAAAGCTTGGTTCAAACTGGTCAACATTTATTAGGGATATTTATAAATGCTTTGAAAAAATAGATATTTAAAAGTTTTTTACATATTGGGAATCATTAAAAATACTTTATCCTTCTGCATTAATATAGCCTTCTACTCAATTTCAATTTTTTTCTGAAACTGAATTTATTTTTAATGAATTAAATTTGGGTAAGTAATCTTTTT